AGAACAATGGGCCTCATGCAAGAACCGTTCGTACGCACAATTTAAGAACAAATCTGTGCGTACGAACGGTTCTTGCATGAGGCCCATTGTTCTGACCTGTAGCGGTTCTGAAGCAGCCCCCGTCCTTCTCCTCTCCTCCTCCCCTACTGAGGCAGACCTGCCTGTCCTGTCCCRTCCCGTCCRTCCGTCCGTCTGTATGTATGTATTTCTTCGTCTTGGACCTTTTTGCTGCTCAACAAATAACTTTGAGCCTCAGTCAGAAAAACTGGAGGGTTTTTTATACTTTTGGCCCGAGAGGAGGAGGAAATGGTGTATTTACAGGGTTGCACATAAAATTTTTGGTCTGGTTCTCAGGGGAGAACCTAGGGTTGTTGCGTGGTGCTCACTCATATTTTCCTTCACTCATTTATAGGCCTGTCGTGATAGTCAATAAATCAAGTAATTGCACGATAAATTATTTTGAGGTCGGTAAAAAAATGAGGATGATAAGTTTCATTTTCCTGCTTGTTCGTTTACTTTGTCTCTCTCCCTCTCTGTGCTCCGCTGCACAGGTTATCAGCTGACTCCTCCCCTCCTGTTTTCTTAATGTTGGGAGGAGTGAACTCTCGCTTTAGCATTAGAGCTTGTAGCAATGGTAGCAATAACAAACTAAAAAAACGTTGATGGGCTTCTGAAAAATGGAGATGGAATTGGTTTCAAAGCAAAACGCGGCTGCTGCAGTGTCGGAGCACTTGCAGAGCCTGAAATTTGCTCCGGGGAGACACACAGAGAGAGAAAGAGAGAGAGGAGGAGGAGAAGGGGTGGGGGCTAAAACTCCCCCAGACCCGCGACAAACTCTCAAGACTTTACCTGTAGCTCCCAAAAATAACAGGAAACTTAAAGGCACCATCTGTGTTTTAACAAAACACCCCAAAAAACCTGTAGCTGTCCCAGCAACTCATGAGGAAAACTCTGAACTGTCTGATTTCCTCCCACGCAGCGCTCTGCTTGTCTCCTCACTGACTGTCTCCTCCTCACACACACACACACACGCACACATACACGTTTGTTCTTCTATCCTCATGGGGACTCTGCATTGACTTTCATTCATTTACCAGTATTTTCTATTACCATTTGACCCTACACCTAGCCTACACTTTACATGGGATGTGAACTGGGCTTATGTCCCCATAAGAAAGAGTGGGTCCTCACCAGGCTGTGTAGTTTGCTTCATCTCTAAAGAGATGCTGCTCTTTAATATTGTTTATTTACTGTCTTAGTTGTGTGTGGTGTTTAATTTACATTTTGTTGTTCTTGTTGGACAGATCTGTTCAATAACAACATTCTGAACACATATTTAATATAAAGTTAGATTTTACAGACCAAAGTCTCTGGTAGTTCAGAAGCAAAGTGCAGGAGGAGCGGAGGAGGAAATGTATGGGCTGATCGCTGCAGCAGCTCGAGTCGACTCGAGCCGGCCCGCTGCTTCAACCAAACATGCTCTCACTGAAAGTCCTGCCCTGCTCTGCTCTGATTGGACAAAACGGCTCTGGACTTCATCTGATTTGTTGAAGGCAGTGTCCGTTTAATCCTTATATCAGGGTCCCGCTCTGGCGCACCGAACAACAATCTATTCACACCAGTGCGGCTGGATWCTTTTTTTTTTTTTAAGAAATCAGGTCGCGTTTGCGACCAAACTGGTCACACTCTAGAGTACCGACAATCAAGCACAATCTTAGGTACGCAAGGGAGTTTTATGACGTCCCATCTGGTGCGCTTCTTCTTTTTTGATCGCGCATGCGTACCTGCGCTTATGTGCAACTCTGTGTATTTAGATGCCCCCCCGCACGCGTTTCCTCCTTGCGACGCGGCGCGCATCAAATCAGTTCGGCTTTTAAAAAACATTAACTGTGACAGATACTTTTTATCCTATCTTCGGATCTACTTGGCCTAACAACACGACTTAATAACTGGTTTAAAGTTCGAAGTCTCTAAAGTATTCACTCGAGAGTCAGAGAGGGCGGATCTTTACAGGTAGAGTTTTTTCTTTCTTCCTAAACTTCATTTAGGTCAGCCAGCATTGACAATGCTCTGTGGGTAACGTAAACGGCTCCGCGACATGGCGAAGTACGCATAAATTGCGCAACACAACAAATCAATAACGAAATTCGTTGCCAACGCTTTTGATAATCGATTTTTATCGATTCGTTGTTGCAGCCCTAGTTTCATGTCATACACAGTGATTCATGACATATTTCCTTTAAAATGAACAAGTCAGCTCAGTCTGGGACTGACTTGTGTTGTCTCCCTGAATCATTCAGGACAAGAAGCTCTTTACTGCAGCCTCGGCTGAGCTCTGTCCACCCCACACCACACCAGCCCCGGACAGCGGAGCTGGAGTGCCCCGACAGCCTGACAGAAAAAAAAGCTGCGCTGCAGCTGCTCTGCTTCAAGATCACAACAGCTTAGATTAGGCTCCATTTTTAGAAAATTTAACATCCTTTTTCACTCCTACGCAGACGACACCCAGATCTACCTTAAGTTGAGACCCATTCTTCACTAGTAAAACCATTGTTTGATTGCATCACTGAAGTCAAAGCTTGGATGGCTTCAAACTTTCTAAATTTTAATGAAAACAAAACTGAAACTATTATCTTTGGACCCAGTGGTAACTGCAGTGCTTCTCCTAAGGATCTGCGTGCCTTGGAACCATCTGTTAAATCAGACGTCAAAAACTTGGGTGTGATCTTTGACTCAAACTTCAACTTTGAGAAACAGATTAATTGTAGTAAAAAGATCATTTTTTAAACTGAGACTTTTATCTAAAATCAAATCGTTTTTTATCTTTCAAAGACCTTGAATGTGTGATTCATGCTTTTATTACATCTCAGCTGGATTATTGTTAACTCTGTGTATGCTGGAATTAGCCAGGCTGGTCACGCCTGCAGCTGGTTCAGAACGCTGCAGCACGCCTTTTAACACAGACAAAGAAGTGTGATCATATCTCCCCGGTGCTGGCTTCGCTTCATTGGCTCCCTGTGTGTTTTAGAATTGATTTTAAACTTTTACTGATGACCTATAAGGCTCTGAATGGTCTGGCTCCTGAATATCTGTATGACCTCTTTACATCCCATGATCAATTGCTCTTGGCTGTCCCGCGGTCCAGACTGGTCCACAGAGGTAACCGAGCCTTTTCAGTTGTGGCTCCTAAACTGAGGAAACAGCTGCCTCTTCACATCAGACAGGCCTCAACTCTTGGAGTTTTTAAATCTCTTCTTAAAACACACCTGTTTTCAAAAGCTTTTAATGTAATTTGAGAGTTGTTTCCCTATTTATTTGATCTGTTTTTATGGGTTTATCATTTGTGTTCTTTTAGCAATGCTTTGTTTTTAGTTTGCAATATGTGAAGCACTTTGGCCAATGGCAGTTGTTTTTAAATGTGCTATATAAATAAAATTGACTTGACGTGACTAGGAATAAAAAGATCAGATCTGGTTCGAGCTGTTTTTCATTTCACAATGACGAGCTGATCGCGGACATGCAGCTCACTGCCCCACTGCCTGCCTTTTTTTCTCACAGCGTTCTTGTTTACCAGATTCTGCAGGACGTAGCGGGCTGGGGTGTGTGTGTGTGTGAACAGAGCAGCAAAGCGCAGTCAGCCCCCTCCTCTCCCCACCGGAGGAGGATGAGGGGGAGTAGGCCTCTGTGGAACTCAGTGGGGCTAGTCTAATCAGATCGAGCTGCTGGTTCAAAGGTTGATTCAGCGATACATGAAGACTTGTGTTGCTGAGGCATTGTGTGTGTGAGTGTGTGTGTGTGTGTGTGTGTGTGTGTGTGTGTGTGTGTGATCGTGTTCAAGTGATGTTAGCCGCTAACATGCTAATAAGGAGCTGTAACAGACGATCATGCTATACTAACTGTTCCAAAGCCTGACTGCTGCAGGGGCGTATCTTAGAGAGAGACTTTTATATCAGAACACAGCCGCTGTGACGAAACCGTGGAGAAGACATGTCATCAGGGAGAGCGTTAACCAATACGTAAATTAGACTGCAGTAACCACTGCTCAACCCATAGTATGCAGCAAAAATAAGTTTTTAGACCAAATATTACAGATTTGAACAAAAACGCACAAAAACATCAAAATTAGCTCAGAAACAGTACTATATAACATTTTAGACACATTCTAGATAGTTTATCAGCTAAAAAAGTTAATTTTGGGGTAAGTTCCTCTTTAACACCGCGGTCAGTTTAATGAGCCGCTGACCCACATCGGTCTGATATCTCTAGCCAAAACACCAACTGCAGATGGTTAATTTCAGCTAAAGAGCTTCTGTCCGTCTGTTTCGGGTTCAGGAAATCATCAAGTGGAAAAATAATTCTCTCTGACTGGTTGCTGCTGCGCGTCGAGCAGCGAAAGTTCAATTTTTTGAACTCGAGCAGTGGCTGCTTTGGACGAGCTGCATACACGGAAAACGCTCTGCCACATCCTACCGCTGCCTTGCACGCTGCTCTAAACTGGCAAAACGCTCCGTGCTGCTCCTAGATGCGCATCCACCATAGACTTTGCAAGTAAACTGGCTGCCTTGGCTGCTCAAAACGTGTCCGGTGTGTACCCAGCTTCAATGAAACAGCTGATCTTAATAAAGTGGTTAATGATTTTGAATTTTGCAGTAATTCAAGAAATGCATACACACCCCTGATCCAGACAGCAGCCAGTGTGAATGGTTTGACGGTATCTGCAGAGCGCTGACAAACCTGAGAAAAAGGATGGTACAACCAAAATTATCATTAACATTAATATCAGTAATCAAACAATCACTGTTAGCTCACTTTGAATTCTTAATCTGTCAAGGCTTCATGGTTTTGGGCCAAACCTTTATGTTAGTGAATCAACTCCAAGCAAAAAGATGGGATTTAGATCCATAAAACTTCATTGCCCACAAAATAGCAAACTGCCACAGACAGCTTTTATGAAAGATAATATACATAAAACAAGCAATTTGTGTAACTTCTCTGTGATGTCTGTGTTGACAGTTTATTATTATTATTTTTTTTGCCACTTCAGTCGAAAGCAGAATTGAATATCTGAATATTAGTATCTTAGCTTCTTCATCATCAGTGGCTTTTTTACAGGAGAAAAAGAAAGAGAAAGAAAAAAGTGACAGTAATGAAAAAGAGTGAAAGAGAGATTAGAAGATATGTGAAATATATGTTGAGAAAACACAAGACAGCACACCTGACATCTTGGCTCCACACCTATAAAAACAAAAGATAAAACCACAGCAACAAAAAATGCATATCTGTATAATTATAATGATTATAGCCTTGCTGAAAACCATACCCATATACATATATAGATATGTACTGTATTTTTCGGACTATAAGCCGTGACTTTTTTCCTGAACTTTGAACCATGCGGCTTATAATCCGGTGCGGCTTATATGTGGATTTTTTTCTTCAGCCACCAGGGGGCTCTTATGCTCCATTTGCTTCAACCACTCGCTTCAAAAAAATAAGGGGAAAAAAAAGAAAAAAGCGATCCTTCCAGAGCCAACTGTTGACCAGGAAGCAGCAATTTAAAGATAAAACAGGGGATAAAACAGACATTTTTCACGGTGGAATCTGACTGATAAAAACTTTGGAGCTTAATCCAGGACCAGTTTGTGGATAAACGTCGAGTGAAGAGCTGCTGACTTTTTTTTTGACATTGCACTCCCCGGGGAAGGAATCCCATGCAGTGACGTATGCTGGAGCAGGAGGGCTTTCCCAGCAGCTGACTGACGGGGATAAATCATTCACAAAAACTGGCCGAATGCGAAGAGCGTCATTTCCTGATGTCTACCAGTGGATTCTAACAGCGTGGAGCAGAGTGAACGAGTCCACCATCACAAATGGGTTCCGAAAGGCTGGACTGCTACATGAAGAGGACACCACAGCTTCAGAGCCAGCCCGGGAGGACAGCGACACAGAAACTGAACAGGTACTGTGTGACGCAGCTTGTTAAC